GGTTAAAGATCGCTAAAAATCAATATTTTTTTACAGGCTGGTTAGGGGTGTTTTAACCAAGCCATATTGTTACACATCCTTTCACATGCACGACGTTTAAATTTCGTGAAACTAGCACTTTCCTTTCTCAAATTATGACTAAAATTAATCTAAAAAAAAAAAACCATGTTATTTCCTATCTGACTCGATCAAGCAACTCCCCCGCTGCCTTCAGCCTCACACCCCACTGTCAATCTGACCAATCACATCTCTTGGGCCGTCTACGCCCACATCAAGACCTCCGCCAATCACGAGTAGGGCCGTCTCCGCCCACAGGACAACATGTTCTGCAGAGACCCCTACTTGCCCCAGTTAGCAAGAAGGGGTTACCTGCAGAATCAAAGTGGGCGTGTCACAAGAGTGGGCGTGTCTAAACCATAAACACTGTGGGCTACGAGGCCTACATGACTGTGTCCTTAGACCCTGCTTGACCTCTTTACAGCCTGACCCTGACCCCAACACTAAGGTTAACCAGGAGAAATGTGACCCAAGTAGGGTTCTCCAGAAAAAGTGGTSCCGTACAGTAACGCCCCTTTTGTTCGTGTCCAATCAGGTGGTGCCGCACGGTATCGCCCCTTATTTGCTTGTCCAGTCAGGTGTGTCCCTTTAAGAAAGTCCATCAAATCAGGTGTGTCGCTTCAGAATCGCCTTTCCTTGTGACACGCCCACTCRTCTGCAGAGACCCCTACTTGCATTTAGCTACAGTCGCTGCAATCATTGTCTGTAAATGACTACAGAATTCTATCAAATCTTTAATAGCTAAAACAAAAACTAAAATAGCATCAGCATAAACCACACAAAAAATAATTATAATATTTTAGGGTTGGGCAATATTGGCAAAAAAATTAATCACGATTAATTGTGGTATTTAGCCGATAACGATTAATTTGACGATTAATCCCCTGGAGTCCCTGGACACCCTTATTTCATAGTCACATGACCAATTTAGTGGGAAATATTTGCTCTTCATAAAAATCTGTTCCAAATTGTCAAAATTACAGACTTCGGGCTATACATCAAATTTTAAATTGTGTTGATACAGTAGATAAATAAATTACAGATTTTTTTAAAATGTTCGTCATATTTGAAACGGAGAGGAGCACCGAGCGGACTGACCAGGGAAATATCCAGTCAATCTGCCTGGTGGCATTAATCGTATTAATTCTCAAGTGCCAAAAAAAAAAAATCAATTAATGTTTTTCTGACAATTAATTGCACACGATACAATTATGCCCAACCCTAATATATATAAATTTCTTTAAATTTGAGTTTTAAACTGGAGAGTCTCTTCCTTGCTCAGACTAGCTGTTAGCCAGCTTCATCAGTCTGGTCTGAATTAAAGCATTTCTTCTAACTGAGGTCATCTAAAGAGAGATTTACATAAACTGTTCTTAGTCTTTACATTTAAGTGACCAGATTTGGAAAATACTGCTGTTGAAGAAGTTCATTTTGATTTTTTGCTCCACTTAAAACAAGAACTGGCTGTTTAAACAGAATCCCACACAAGCAACATGTTTCCTCTAGATTATCTCTTTGTCACAAGCAGCTGACACACACCTCTTCAAACATGGTGACAGCATTATGACAGTAATCCCCTCTCTGGAAATATTCACTTCCTGAGCTTATTTTTGTTAGGGCCGCACAATATACTGCAAATTTACACTCGGTTATACACTCTGTGCTGAAACCAACCAATAATGCATCCATCCATGTTTTTTCTTAATGGGTCGTGGGGCAGCTGGTGTCAATATCCAGCAGTTAAAGWGCAAGAGACGACACCCTTGACAAATCCATCATAAAGACACACAGAGACAAATGAGACGACCACTCRCACACATTTAACTCAACATGCATGTGTTTGGCCTGTGGAAGGAAATGTAAGTGCCAGGAGAAAACCCAAACATGCATGGGGAGAACATGAAAACTCCACCTAGAAAGACTCCGGACCAAGTGGTCCTGCAACAGCTCTACTCTGCTTATTACAATAACGCACTTTGCAAAACATAAAGATAACTGAAAGCCCATTCCTAATCAACACCTGAGCCTTTCTTTGCAATTTATCAATATTAAAACCAGAAGAGTCTAAACAGAAAGTCAAAAAAATAATATTTAAGTAGAAATCTCTTAATTCACCAGCAAGTAGTCATACATCCCTTTTTAGTTCTGTCTATAGATGTAAACTTTTCATAATCAAAATTATCCTGAGTTCAACCGAGCTAAAATAAATTAAATTTAACCCGTTATATCTTGTGTCAGCGTCTGGTGACRTAAAAGACAGCAAATGAATGATACTTGATCCAAGTCTGAGCCCACAAGTTGGCTTTAAGGTTAGAAGAGGTTTCAAACAGTGTAGTCCCWATAAAAGGTGTTATAATCGTGATGAATGTCTGTTTTCTTTGGCCCCGGTGGGCCTAATGTAAAAACATATTCAGGAACCACAACAAAATGTCATGGGTTCTTCACTCATTATCCTCTCCAAGTTTCAGTTGCTGTTTTTGACCAATATTGCTGACATGGTCAAAAATGGATATTTTGGTCAGCAATATAAAAGAAAATTTAAAAAAAGGAAAGGAATAAAACTTGAAATTTTCCATCAAGTAAGGCCTTTCGAGGTTACAGAAAACACTTGAGCTCATCAAAAAACAGAACTAAAAGTTATTTTCTGGAACAAAAACGCGTAAATGTGTTTAGTATTTTTAATAAAAAGTTACCAAAATGAGCAGAAGATAAAACCATTAAATGAGCATTAAAGTAAAACACTGTAAAACACTTTCATAGTAAAATGAAAACACTTGGCTAAAAAAAAATCAGTATGGGGGAAATTTATAAAACAAAAACCATAACCAAAGATATCTGTGTAAATTCATGGATATATGGCTCATTCGTTTGATTTTTCCAATTCAAATGAAAACGAGAGAAAAAAAGTTGGATTTTTTTTCTTTTTTTCGGTTTTAAAACTAAACTTGAAAACCAACAATTGAAAGATTAAAAAAGGCTATGTTTGGTTCTTTAATGGTTAAAAGCAAAGACGAAATTTTGGTGAAATTGCTTTAATATTCCAATTTATGTAGAATAGGGTTCGAGTGCAGCCATTGCCAAGATTAGGCCTGCACGGTATTAGAAATTCTTGTGGTGCAATTATATTTGTAAATATTATTTTGACAATATTAGATGTGATTTTTTTAACTGTACTCTACTTTTTGTGACCTTTAGCATTTTTGGTAAAGTCATCAGTGTTTGGTATTAGCTTCTGCTGCCATGATACTGTCCTACTGGCTAAATATTACATTATCATGAAAAACAACTTCAAAACTCTCCAAATATTAGACAACTACTGCACTCTAAACAGTCCATTGCAATATGAATTTTGTGCAGACTGATATTGCACTGATGATATACTGAGCAGTGCTATCAACAATCTTTAGGAATGGTTTCTGTTTTTTAGCCTCCAGTCTCTGTAAGCTCTTCTTTTTGGTGATTTCTGTCATTTCCAATATCGCTACATATTTAAAACAACCATTTATTTTATTTTGGATTTAGATAGTTGAAGCATAACTCAAAACTAGGGCTGTGTATTGGCAAGAATTTGGCGATACGATACATATCATGACAGAGGGGTCACGATACGATATATCCCGATATATT